AAGAAAGTAACAGCTATTGTCTTTCAAAGATTATTTCAGGTTTACAGATATTCCCTTAACTCTTCGAAATAAAAATCATTATATGTCCCCAATGAATACATTTATTAAGTAACTGAAATTCACAAGCATTTAGATTAATTCTGCATTTATTTATACAGAGATGGCAAAATGAGTACCTGCTTTTATAGCTGGTTCACATGCAATAGTTACACTAAGTAGCTTTGCTGTCTGTTTATAAGAGAATGTTTAAGGCTAGATCACGAGACAATTAAGTAATTCAGATAGTCCTCCTATTTCCCATGGATGAAAAAAAAAATCTAAAAAACAGACTATGGCTGGCTTTTTACTACAGCTAGAAAGGCAACAAAATAATCCAACGCACAGTGCAATATCTGCAAAGAGAGGTTTAAGCCCGATCTCATTGTTGCTTTTCAAGGGATAAAGGAGAAACACTAATTTACATTGTTCAACTCTGGGAATTTCCAGTGTGTAAAATATTAACTATGTTAAATGAATACAGAATCTAATCTTGTTCCTGCATCAACCCAAAGAGTTTACAAAAGTGTTCCAAGTTTTTCTGCAGGATTTCCTGGCTTTTCTTTTGGAAATAGGGGCAGAGACAGAAAAACTGACAACCCCAACTTATTTAGAAACGCTAAAGCTCTTAAAAGCAGAGATCGAGAATCCAGTCTCAACACAACTATACTGAAATTCCTGGTTAAACCTAGTCAGAAAGGCTTCTTCTTGAATATGGAAGATCTGTACCTCTTGGCTGCCAGGGCACATATGTTCACATATACATCAAGACCTTTTCAGGTTTCCAAGCAACAAGAACACTGCTTGGACAATGTTTCTACAACCTGCAAAAACTTTTACAAGCAATACACATCACTCCCCACTCAATAACAAACCCAAAAAGACCACCTGATCAGATATGAAAGGAGAAACAAAGCCCTTATCAAGTCACTTGACTAAATATCCCTCATAAGTAGGGTAATCTGCCACCATGCTGAAGACTCCAGATGATCAGCTAGATGAAAGAATTTAATGAAGACCTAAGTATTCGGCATTCCTAATGATGTTCACCAGCTCTCAGAACAGTCTTCCCCATTTTTAAAGAAATTTTACAGATTTTGTCATAGTATCATGTATAATTTTAAAATATTAAGTCTTTTTTGTTGTTGTTAAAGTACAAGCAGAGTGTGATATACATTAATCCTGTGTCTTCCAGACATGGAAAGTGCAAGTATTTTGAAGGTAACCTATTCTATCCAAGAATCTACAATGTAAGAACTCTTTCCTCTGAGTTTTAACAGGGATGGCTGAGAGCATGAAAGAAAAGGGTGTAAAATGAACCTTAAAGTATGCCTCCAACTTCTGTCTGAACCAAAGTACTTTGTTAATAAAAGCATCCTATGAGAGTATGAGAGTTTGAGTGAGGAGCCAGCATCCACCTTTAACAACCTGTTCTAAGAGAGAGCTTCATGGTCTGTTACATTTATATCTTATTTTTTCATTTAACCTTGATCAGCACAACTACTCACTTTTGCAATAAGCCTCCTGATTGAATTTATTCCCTCTCCCAGTGTTATATTTTCTCACAAACGATTGAACTAAACCAGCCATACTTTATGCGAGTAAGAAAACAGAATACCATGACAGAGCATATACCATTTCTTGATAAAGCTTCTTTGGTTTTGATGGCTTCTACAGCCTTTACTAACTGATTCCAGTCTGCATAATCCATCACAATATGGCAACATATAACATATTTAATAACACCTTACACGTGTATCCAGCAGTTGTCCTAGCTGTCCTGGTAAGTCTTGTGCTGCACACTTAAGTGGAACCTGTTATCCTTAACAGCCCATAGATCCCTTTCAGCGTTGTGGAAAAACAGGACAAGCCCTCCAATAAATATTTACATGTTTTATTCCCAAAATGATTGCTTTACCTTTGGAACTGCCAAACAGGATATTTGCTTTTGCTTGGCTTACATAGTTTGAGAGATTACTGTATTGTAACTTATCCTTAATGCTCAGTCAACAACAGAGACGTGAGATGTGAATACCCACCGCGTTCACCCACACTGCACTGTAATACCCTGCACAGGTATTAGACATAGGCCTCTTTTTCTACAGGGAGGGCTGGAGAAACAAAGGAAACAGCACTAACTTCTACCCATTTTTAGATGCAGTTTTGCATCAGTTCAAAATTCCATCTCACAAGAGGTGACATTTTTATTCATATTCACAGACATTATGGTAAGTGCACACAAACAGCCCCACTTGAAGTTAGCAAGTTTAAAAGTACAATAAAACATTCCCAAGAAGTTAAATTTGCCTTAGCTTTAAAGCCAGTGCTGAAGAAATACACCACAGAACTTGTAAAGGTTATTCGATGCACTGAAAATCACCCAAGAAAGATACAGAATTCACAAAATGACATACTGTGAATGTTTTAACACTAACAAGAGATGAACAGCAAATATACATGTCTCTCCAATTTTACAGGCACACTAACTGTGTTGTGGCTTGCTTTATCAGAAAGAAGATTGTGGCTTTGCACCACTTCTGTAAATGAATGGAAAATGGAGAAAGAGCACCAATAGTCAGAGAACAGACACTGTATCTAGAAAAGTTTGCTATTTTTCCATCCTTAAAGTATGAAAAGCAATGTGAACAACTGAGCTAGACACTTAAGTAATGTCTTAATACTGCAATCAATTACCAGAGTCTTGCTGCAAGAAATTAGTCCTGGGCACAGGGTTAAGAAATAGAAGTGGGGTTGGAACTCCTCACTGAGTAAGGCTAAAATCCATAGACTTAACTATGGCATTGAAATGAAAGAACAAAAGCTTTATACTAGCTGCAATCACTAGAACAAAGCTCCACTATAATATCAAAGCCACAAAAAAACCCAGAAAAAAAAAAAGATAGTGGGCCTCATTCTACATGGTACTGGCTGACATTATTTCAGTTCATTTCAAAAAGGATCATTTGTCTTTTCTTAAAATGTAAGACATTGTACTGCAGAACATTCAAACAGTCATGCAATATTTTTATTTTGTAGGAACTATCTGCAACTGTGAGGATGGGGAAAAAATATCTTTCTTTAAAATGCAAAATACTCCATCAGAAAACTCTGCATTCATAAATGGTAAATAATATTAATGTTCTGTTTAAGTTAGAAATTTGTTAACTTCAAAGTCTAACATATCCAATTTTGGAAGCTGACTCAGTACAGGAAACAGTTGAGGTTTATTAAGACAAACACTGAAATACAGCCATTCTACTGGCAAAAGTATGATGCTAAAGATCATTTACTAAAGAATCGCTAACTATTACAGCCAATTTGGAGTTTAAGGCTGTGTTTTAAAGGCATCATATCCAGCATTTCAAAGCTATGTAACTACATGCTTTATTAAGTTGGAAAAGATGAATCACAAGCAGAATTATATTAAACTAGTAAAAAGGGGAGGGAGCACTAATTTTCTGCATGAAAAATAGAGAGAATGTGCCACAACTAAATTTAGGGGGAAATAAAGTTATATTTTGAGACTATTGCTAGCAGGCATAAGAGGAATTTACTTTTTTAATTTCTAGTCCAGAAATAGATTTTGTTGCCCATCATGAGTTTCCTCAATTGAGCTGATCAAGACATTATGTTGCCAGTTGAATCATCCTCTACATGCTTATACAGCAGACTACATTTGAGCTCTTGAAACTTAGTGTCAGGCTTTACCTAAACTAACATTAGTTCAGCCAAATATCAATAAAAGCTACAAAAAGAACAAGCACTTTGTGCAAAGTCTTATCTTACACTTTATGTATGACACAAGCACTGACCCTTAAGAGAAGATAGCAAAGTACTCAACTACAGTTGATATATCCACATTGGACACCCAAGAGAGTAAAAGACAAAAGCATTAAACTTATGCTGTGACTACAGGAAATCAAAAACATACTGCCACAGTACCAGAGTTGCAGGTCAAAACTGATTTGCCCAATAATTCCAGACTCAAAAATTTACAACATCTGCTTGGCTACAGCATCTCTTTCAGAAAGACATCTGCTATTCACTCAAGGGACAGAAAGCTTTCCAATGATCTTCAGTATCTCTCAAAAAGGGCTTTTCAAGGAGTAATTAATTACAAGCAGCATTTAATTCAGTAAATACATGCTGATTCTCAGGAAACTAAATTAGACTGCCAACTCTCTTGAAAAGACCTGGAAATTGCTGCAAGTAGAAACGTAATCTGAAGACTTTTCTGTCTTCTGGCAGATAGAAATTGGCACCAGGTGTCCTGACTGGCACAAGAACCAAAACAAACGCAACAGAAAGTCCTTAAAACTCTGCCAGATTTTGAAACGCCATCTGCCATTTAATCAGCTGTGATTCCCTCCCCTTGCCATATGAGCAGACACACACATCAACATCCTTGGATAATTTCAACTTCTTATACAAGTGTAGTCTGCAGTGATACACAGAGACAGCTCACACCAAAAGGTTATCTACAATGAACCTTCCAGAAAAGAAAGATTGTGCATGATTCTTGTATTTTTTTTTTAACGCCACAACACATGAATTCATTCATTACTTAGCTCACTGTGGCTAAACAGCAAAGACTATATCAAGTTTCATTTCCAGAGTTGTTTGGTTTGTTTGTTTTTGCTGTTGTTGTTGTTTTTTTGTTTGTGTTTTTTGTGGGTTTTTTTTTTCTTTCTTTTTAAATACCATTTAAAACTTCTAAAGTTTCACAGGAAACAGAGTAACAGATTGCACAGATTGCATATTTTAAGACCTGGGTAGCCTGAAGACAGTAAATAGACAAAACCCAAAACACCTTTTTCCACCTTTAAAACTGAAGTCAGTGATAATTTCAGAACTCTCCACTGCAAATCTGTTCTTCCAAGAAAAGAACCAATATACTAATATAATGTATAAACCTAATTTGAGTTGCACCACAGAAAATATAAAAATGTGTTCAGAAAACTCACCAGGACCCAAACAAGATAGGCTTTGGTGTACATTTCTTCCAGGAGAACCTACGGTGTTCAGGAAAGAGAAAAAAAAATTACACTTCAAGAGAGCAAAGAAAATACAAGATGCATTCCCATTAAGCCAAACATGTATTTTCCATTACAGTTATCATATTTCATTTAAGTCAGGTAGGACGATTTTACTTTACTTATTCAGAGAGGACCACAGATAATTAGGAACTATCATCATAGTAAATTTTTTCCACCTATATGCTCATAAAGGTGAAATAAATTAACGAATACTCAAACATGCTACTTGGCAAGTTAGATACAAATGAAACACTGAAAAAGTTAATCCGCCCTACCTGCATTGGAGTTATGTGAAAATTCACCTCAGAACCTTATTAAGGATACTACATGAAAGCAATCTTTCAGACTGCTAGGTATAAGTGCAAAAGTCATGTGCAGAAGTTCACAAAAGGTCTTTTGACAGCACCTTTTTTCAGAATTTACAAATAGTGTGTGATCCTACAACAGGTTTTTCAATGGGAAAAAGCTACTTTGTACTGCTACCATACTTGTTACCCTCACCTCAGTTTTGTAAATGGAACTTCGCTCCCAAGGCAAAAACTTTGTCTTACAAAGCCTTCCTGAAGATTCTTACCTATTATTTTGATTCACTTTGGCAGAAATTACTAATTGCAATTAAAAGTTAAAGATAAAACAAATGGCTGATACAGAAACATACAAGTGGAGCAAATATCCTCAACAGACAGAGCTGACCACCATGCTCTCTCTAGAATCTTAATTTAAACCCAAACTTACAAAAATCTAGTCTATCTTGTGTCTTGCAAGCATACAATCTTACAAGAGGATGACAGAACATCATTTAATAGACTGTCTGTTAAATGGTCATTAAGGGATGCAAGTTTCAAGCAGACAGTAGACAATGAATGCCCCTTAAACAAATACGTAAGGAACACTTTGCAGACTCAGTCTCCAGTACTATGAACTGCAAGGAAAATGGGCAGACCATCTCAATTACTCTGAAGTCAGAGCATAGTTGCTCTTCCTGAATACAGAGGGATTCAAGAAAAAGTGAGAAACTGACTTTACCCAACAGCTGATTACCTCTAATCTCACTGACTTTCCTTCCTGAGTGCAGTGGCCCAGCTGATTTTGGTGTGCACTGGTTCAGTGAAGGAGACTTGGTTTTGGCTCCTAGAAGTAAAAGCTGAGATGAACTTTAAAGTAGAACTATGTCGCCAATTAAAGACATATCTAATATTACACATTTAAGTACAAGATGCACAAATCTACTCAAACACACAAAGATACACCTCCTAGAACATATAAGCTATATTTAAACTTAGCTTTGCTTTACCAGAACTCATACTGGAATAAAATGATGTTTTTAATAAAGCTTCTAAGCAGGAGAAAACATTAGTGAAAAATTCACTTCAGCACTAAGACCTAATTACTTAAAGTCTCAAAACAGTAGCTAATAGAACACAGCTAAGGAAAATACTGCCTGAAAGAGACCTCTTTCCAGCTATCCAGACTCCCACTCAGAGCAGGCTCACCATCAAGACAAAAATCAGTTTTTGTCCAGATGAGCTGTACAACCTCCAGGAAGGGAATTTTTATGGCATGACTGGGCAAGGGCGCATGTCCCACTCTACAACTTGCAAGCATTTTCCACTGCCACATCATCTGGTGCTACTGAGAGGAGTCTGGCACCATGATCCTTACAGCTGTCCTTTTCAAGCCATTGACTACACAAGCTCAACTCCCTCAACCTCTCCTCAGCAGACAGAGACCCCACCCATCTTCCTAAGTCTCCAGTTGACCTTTCCAGTTTCAAAACAACCCTCTTGAACTGGGAAGGCCCCAAAACTCAACACAGTAGTCCAGGTAACACTGAACAGATTCTTTTGGCCACCCTGCTCCTGCAGGTGCTGAAGGCAGGCTTCCATCAACTCTATCCAGGTTGCTGATGATGTTGAGTTATGCACAGTTGTGCTGCATGTATTTTACCCCCCACAGAAAACATCAGCTTGTCAGAGACACATATGATTTGTGTTTGTTTCAAAGTGATTTATGGTTTGTGGCAAATTCTGTTTCTTCTCACTGTTTACTATTTTAAAGCATGTCATTACAGCATGATATTTGGCAGGCATCTCTTACTTATTCTCAATTATGTCAGATACCAGCTTAAGTCTAAAGCAGGAGTACAGTATTTAATTAGGTTTATCCAATTACAATAACCAGTTCATCACAAAGATGGTCAGAAGCAAGCTGATTATAGCTAGGATTTAGCAAAGAGACACAGCAAGCTTGTTTATCTGCTCCCATTATGTCTTTAATTTTGGTCAGAGAATGAGTTGTCAACTGGTGTTCGTGGCTTGAGTGGAAGAAGCACTGTTGGTTGATCAAGAAGTCCTGTCCTGAACAGGAACTGGAACCAGAACAATGTTTAATACAAAGCCAAGGAGTACATTTAGTGTTTTCTTTAGCACAAGATAATAAAGTACAATTGCCTTATCTTCATTAAAAATTAAAGCTTCCAATTCAGCCAGTAAGAAGAATATTAAGAAAAAGCAGCATGAAAAGCTGAGCTGTTTCTGGGACTCCACCCCTGGAAGGATGAGATAATGACACTGATCTACGAAAGAAGATACTTCATTCAATAATACCTTATTCAAAAAAATATCCCCATCCTCCCAAGGTCCTTTCTCTATGCTGTAAGGGGTAAAGATAATGCAAAGTCTGCACGAGGACAAGAACAATTCAGGACAAATTCAGGGTAGGTTACCAACAGCCACAGAATCTGAGCCTGAACTTTCTGAAAGAAAAGAACTCTTATTAAAATACTGTAAACCCCATGCGATGACACCTGCCATGTAGCAAGGTGCACGTAGTCCCTGTACCATGCAAACCTCTGTTGTACCACAGTGCAGACCTCCTCTTCCATTTCCCTGAAATACCTCCATCAATTACAACAATTCAAAGAACATTTTAACCTTCCCACAAAGTCTTACAACACTCGAAGCATCACTGATGTGATTTTACTTCCTCGCACTGTTTTCCGGGAGCACCATTACCAAACACTGCTTCAGGAGGTAGATACCTGCAAGTGGCAAAGTACTGTAACAGCAGGAGCTGTGCTTTCACTCTGTCTACAAACAGATCCACGTACCTTTAGGAGTTGACTTCAACAAGTGCAATCTAGGCCTTGATAGTGCTTTCAAAGGGACAGGTCCCGAAGTGCCATTCTGGCAGGCTGGTTTTGAAGGCCATTCTCCATTCTTGATGACTGTGGCATTTGCAGCTGCAATGCAGAATGACAAAGAATTTGCTCTAAGCATAAACAGTTTGATGAAGCCAAGTCTGTCTTACTAGAGGCTGAAGGACCTTAAAAGAAGTTTGGGTTTATTACCACAATGGAAATTTTTCCTTGAAAAACAAAACCCTGAAATTTTGGGAAAGCATTGTTTCCCTTTTCTAGAAAAAAATCGGAAAATACTTCTAAAGTAAGTACACATTGTGTTGGGTACTACAAAAATTATGTATACTGACACAAAGAATAAGAAGCTGACATGACATTTACCAGAGACAAGCAAAAACTAAGTCACTCTGGAACAGTTGGTCACACTGTTGCTCTTTTCTCTAGTCATTAAAGAGAGGGAAAGCTTTTGGCATGTATTATCAGGTTTGCATTAGATTAGTATTTTAATGAGGCTGGCTATTGGGCTATTTTTAAAGGTTTGTCTAATATTGTTCATCAAGAGATGGAACACACAGTCTTGAGATAATTTTAGTGTCTTTAAATGCACTAGCATAAAGCATGTAAGTTAGCTGCTTCAAAAAGATGGTTTTTGGCCACTAAATACATTTTCAATCACAGAAAGAGGGACAGAACTTCCGTCTCCTGTAGAAACACAAGCAACCAAAGCCATCCTCTTTTTTTAAGATAAAGAAAGTTGGAGCTCCTCAAAAGGCACAAAAGCTAACTATTGCAAAAGGATCTATACATGAAGAACAATTTGCATAACACATCAGTAAAACAGTTATTCTGTGGGAGTCTGACCTTGATCAACATCAGATTAAAACAAATTTGTTTTGGTAAAACATGGGGCCTGAAAGTCCTTAACTTTTTCTTTAAATCACTACATTAAGGATTTTTGCTTAGAGTTCACTGCAAGTAGTTAAAAACTGCCTACAGACTGGTGTGCTACCAGTCGGAAAATCAGAAGTACACCATGGAAGTAACACTTTGGATAAACAAGCAGCCTTCTGGAGCAGGACTAGTTAGGGCACTGTTTCACCCCATTAAAAGCTCTGGAGTCAGCTAACCAGGCTGCATGCAGATAGGAAAACAAAAGGCAGAGTTGCAAAGTCTGATCACTATATGACTCAAAGCTGCTTATTCACAGAATTAGGAGCAGCTACTGCAATCCTGATTGAAGATGGACAGGTATGAAATAATCTCACCCCATTTAAGATCGAAAGAGTTTAAAAAACTCAACTCATTAAAAGAATTTTAGTGAAGTACTGACTGTTCAGAAGTGCAAGCTCAACTGCTAGGAGCTTTTTAACTTCTGAAACACTATTTCCTTTATTAGTAATTATTCTAATGCAATTAAAATTTGGACTCTTGTTTTTAACCTCAGAGTTTAAACATTTCACTACATTCAAATTATAGTATTTTCAGCTCAGCACTAAAATTTCTGAGATTTCTCTACTGTTAAAAGAAATTCTATTTTCCAATGCTCCAACTGACAGCCTGCATGAAAAATATGCTTTTATTAACAACAGCATTTCACACCTCATGATCTCTAAACTTCTCAAATTGGAAGTCATTTTAGAGAAAAAAAGATCATAAAGTTCAAGTGCTCATTAGACAAAAAAATCCCTAATGCTGCCACAAGGAATTACCAATCTAAAGACATCCTATAACAAAGGGCTGCGCTGACACAGCAAGAGAAGCACTTGTGTCATTTTGTTCTCTGTTAATACAAGGCAAACTCCTTAAGCAAAACAAGCCAGGTGACTTTGTTGAATTAATACTGTTGACAGAGCTACAAGTTTGTCATAAATTTCATGGCATTCACAGCGTAAGCCTCCGATTTTGATCTTTGTGTCCCCCACCAATCTAATAAAAACATTTTAGGATTACAAATACAATTTTTTTCCTGACATTATTGCACAGTAGATTAAATGAAAGAATAAAAAGCAAGAACAGCACTGTACTTAATATTAGATTATAAAGTAAATTTCTTAATTTTTTTCCAATTTAACATCATAAAAATTTCACTAACATATGAATTCTATGTAATCTAAAGTCCTTATACTCAGAAAACCTTACTATCAGACATAAATCACACCTAAAGAAAAATAATCTCACAAAAAATCAGCAAATCAAAATATTGCATATATTTACCAACCTCCACAAAACAAAAAGCATGCTTTAAAATAGAAATAAAAAGGAATACAACCTACTTCTTTTCCCAGTAAACGTGGCTAACAAAGGAACAATGCAAAAGCTGTAAGACCCCACTACCAGCAATGTCAGTAAGGTAATATCATAGTGGCTTCCTGAGTCAGTCGGTGGTGTTAGCGTAGAATTGATAAAAATAATAGGAGAAAAATTAGTTTCTGTGCAACTGCGGAGTCCTCCTGGTATAGTCATTTAAAAAGATCAAAGCAAGCTTAAAGTCTAGGAAACTGCAGCCATGTTCAACCTCTCATATTGCTCTCGCTTGGTCTTCGTGAATCGGAGTGGAAAAAATTGTAAGCTTGAAGGCAGTGGACAAAACAGATTACAGCAGCTAGCAAATCAGGCTAAATAAGGAGTCATCTGTTTGGACACTTAATCTGAATACACTCCTTTGTTGTAAAGCGATGACCCCATCCTTTGTTACATGAGGGAGCAAAACGAAGAGAGGACAAAGCTGCTTAGTAATTCCAGCTGCAGTCCTAAACCTGAACAGCAAAAGTCAACATGGCTGTCACAGTATCAGAACCGATCTGACTACAGAGCGATCTGCACATGTATATTTTATCACACGTACTCTTATTCCTTTAAGGAATATGTTAAGTCTTAGTTTTTAAATGAAGGCACTACAGGGGGGAAAAGAAAAAGCAAGGAGAAAATTTAGTTAAGTAGGCATGCATATGCGCATACATAAACTACAGATGTATGATAAATCACAGTTCTCTTTCTCAGTCCATTGAAGACTGATTTAAGTGACATCTGGCACAAAGAAAAGGCGTTTGCCCAGTCTTCAAGATATAACAGATGACATGATACTAACAGAATATTTGAATGTACTTATTTGAATATATACAGCTGGGAATACTAATACTACTAATACTACTAATACTAATACTACGACATATTTTTGCCACCAGAATTCCTACAACTGATGTATAGCTTCAGATCACAGCTAGTTCTATTATTTTTCCTCCCTGATTTTTAATCAAGATGTATTTGGTTAGGTCATACACTGATGCTTGCAGTTACCTTAGAGATTATAGAAGTCTACCCATGCAAAGTTTTACCTTCTAAAATGAATTTCACTTACCAGTCTTTGATTTCATCTACACATTTTGTATTAAAACTCTGAAAGCAGATATAATCCAGTTCAAAAAAACATTTAGTATCAAAAACCTGTAATGTGCTTTTCCAAATATTATGACAAGTAAACCATTCTGTTCAGACTTATCTCTTTTTACACTACATGTAAACACTAGGAAACTCTTGCTGAAGAACACACTGGTTGTAATCTTTCAGGGTAGAAGAGGAGCTGTACCAAAACCGCTACTCAAACCACAACCCAAGGCTCAAAGTTCCTTCAGGCAGCATGTCTCAAAAAGGAAAGCTCTCAGTTAAGAGGCAAAAAAGTAAGTCCTAGAACTAATAAGTAGTACAACTGGAATTAATAAAGGCCTTTGTCAGCCAGGACTCCCTCCCAAGAGGATTTTTTCCAACAAGCAGTTGACACTGGCTATCAGTTAAAACCCATAACCCTCACACATACTCACAATTACTGCTGAAAAGACTTCGCTCACTCTGAGTGCTGCTGACTGATGAGAGGCTAGGTGTTCTCTCAAGCACCGATCTTTTGACAGGCACTTTGAATTTGGCAAGGGATTTACCAGAGCTAGTCAAGGAGGCTGGAGAATTTTTCACTGAGGCATGTTTCTCTCCTGGCAAAGATCCTATACCTGTCAATTAGGGGGGAAGGAGGAAGAAGAACAAGAGGAGTTGGAAAGAAGCTTAAACAATTGCTTCTTTTACACATATGTCTACAAATGAAAATATTTACACAGTAAAAATCCATATAAAAAGGTTTAATCTATCTCATATTGATATGGCAAAAAAAATGCTGTAAATGCAGAAAAACAGTTCCAAGAATTTAAAGCATCATATTTTTCCTCAAAAACAAGTGAAGCGCTTTAAAGATTGGCCTTCAAGACAGACCTCTGCACACAAAAAAAGTCTTTCTTGCATTGTCCTACCTCTGTGTGTTATGGTTCGCTGTAGTGACCATCCCATAAAAACAAAAACAACCTCCACAGACAATCCAAGAAAGGATTCTTCTGTTTGTTCCCGTCCCTAAAACAGAGATTCCCACCCCGTTCCACTCTAAAAGATAATATTCTTTCAAGAACATACACAGTATGAGAATACTCACATAGTATACTTAAAACTGACTAGTTCTGCAGAACTAATTAAACAGCACTCCCAGAACCAAGTTCTTAATGGTCAGCTGGTGCAGACACATTTTTATACTAATTCCAGTTTTCATTTGAGCTTGTTGAATACAAACTCCCAATAGCTAAGTGAATCAAATAGGAAAAGTATCTATAGAGGAGACACGTATGCCATCTTCAGGATAGGAGCTTACTCTTGCACTACTAACAAAGCAAATACATGTTCCACAAGAAAATTAAGAGTTTAATCAAATTAAGCTTTTAGTTTATTTCTGAAAAGTGTGGCATCCAGATTAAAACTTCAGTGGCCCAAAGGAAGTTACGTACACAGAGACTTGTCTTGGCAGCTCTGAGTTGACACTTGTCAGCTCTGATGACAAAATCTTTATAGAGTCCTCTGAATGTGGAGAAGAGGTTTTCGTTTTTGTACAAAAACACAGACATGGAAGACAGACTTATATATTTTTAAAATGTTTTGTTATCTATTATAACAAAAATATATCTAAAATAGCTTAATTTCTAATGTCATTGCCATTTTCAAGTCTGACAGTTTATCTTACTTGAAGAGAGACAATTACAGTGTTTCAGATTTCACTTTGAACAATCAGATTTCTATGCAAAGGGAATACCCTTCCCTCTATTCTTGTCACTATAAACCACATTTCAATTTTGCTTAAGCTAAAATACTGTTGAACTGTGACAGAATTAGCTAGTAATTCCACTTTATTCAACATCAGTTTTACTACAGGAGCTCCACCCTTTAATAGATGACCAAGAAACCTTCAATTTGCACCAAGACCACAGAAGCATGACACTAAGGGGACTGCTTTACATTTTAGGCAAGAAGAACGCACCCAATGTCTGCCTTTCAACAGTAGGTGGTGTGACAGGATTAGATAACCTGTCTCAAAACATCCTGTACCAAGTATGCAAAAACAGGAACAGCACTAGTAAAGAAAGGTATGGCCAAGCTATTTTCCTCAGTTCAGACCAATTCAGTAACAAAAGGGAAAGCCCACATACAACATACACTAAACCTTCGTTGGCATATTATGTAATACTTGTCACAGAATAAAACACACAAGCTTCAACAAGTCACTAAACATGCTTCGTGTCAGATCTCTCTTTGGAGGTGCACTTTTACTACTTGTGTAACTTTATTATGGAGAACTGTGATTCTGTATATGGCTTTATTGTAGCCTGCTATTAAACCTCTGAGACAAAATTATCAGCCATATTTTAGAACTTTTTGTAAGTTACTGCAAAGGACACTTGAATATACAGAACTCACTATAGGGCTTTGTTGTGCTAGGAGAACAGTACAAACCACAAGCTCACACTTACTGAAAACATCTTTAGAACACAGCATTCCAGAAAACATATCTGAAATAATTTGACAAAAAACATATAAAATTTTTGTGACATCTGAACTTTGTAAAACAAATCTGATAGCTTTATAAAACTGTTCACATTGTTTTCTAAAACCTTGTTTCATTAATGGATCAACATACCAGAATAATAAGTAATTCAGACCAGTCAGAAGTTCCTTTTCTAAATAATCTCTCAGCAAAACAAGGTGCAAACCCCAAAGAAACTCCAAACAAAACAAATTAAAAAAAAAAAATACCCCCTAAAAACAAACAAATGAAAACCACAAAACCCCCCAAACAAGCCAAAATGAGAAAAACAAACAGGAAAAAAGGGCCGCTGTACAAACACTGCCTGTTAAGGTTGTATGACTTAGTGAGTTAAAGTTCTACATTTCAAAAGGTAGCTAGAGGAACAAATGCAGTTTATCAGGTGCATTTGATTAAAGATGAAGGCAGCATGTTTGATTGCCATTGTGCTGGACTTGTTCATCCAGTTCTAAACATACAGGAACAAAATCCTGTTTTCTTCACACTGATTTTCACTCAAGAAGGGTCAAAGCACGTATGCAAAAATGCTCAGTCTCGTCTCATACTGCACGTTCCCTATACATGATTTGCAGCCAGCCCAACTTCTCTGCAGAAACTGGAGTGTGACAGTGCTCTGAACCAGCTGTGAACTCAAACCCATTCAGTGAGCACAGCAAGCTCTAGGACGTTCAGTTTCAGCAGCAGATCAAACAGATGACATTTGCTCTTCTCTTAGTTCTGCTGCTTGGTACTTTCCTGTAAGGCTTCTATTAAAGTAGTTACTCAAACACTCAAATACATCATTTTCAAAAGCCCTGCTCAAGGGAAAATTTCTTTCAGGTCATGACACAAGATCATTAAGCAGCTACTCTAGGTGTTACTTTAACTAACAATTTTACGAAGTATTTTTATAAAATAAATACTTCCCTTAGAAAGGAGTTACACAGAATTAAATGCAAAGGTTTTCAAGACAGAAGCAGGAAGATACAGTATATAAACAAAAGTGCTGGAAACAGGCATAAAAGCAGGATATTTAGTTAACCATTATTACAAAGACAACAAGCAATAGCAAACTAACAGGCTTTCATCAGTTATTTAATCTAGTCGCTGAAGCGGGATACTAGAAATACCACATTCCTCTACAATGAACTAATGAGTTGGCAATTCTTTAGAAAAAAGTCTTCATGCACCAACCATGTTACTTGAAGTGTGTTAAAGTATCTCTTGTATTGGAATGGAAATAAGCAAAGAACAAAGCTCATTCTTCAAGAAGCTCTGAAGTTAGCTTCCATATCCTTAATCAAATAATCATCCTCTCATATGAATCCCTCACAGGTGGTTATTGTCAAGAAAAAGTTAAAGCTAAGGCTTCCTTTAAATAGCACTGGAGTCTAAACCACTCAAATTGAGAAAATGTTGACACCAGGTAGATTGTAAAGTCAAAAACACATTCACAAATTCTGAAATTTCATGTCCACCATTTCAAACCACAGTAATACATTTCACATCTGGAGCTGAGCACTGAGCAACTGGCATTCACAGAGCCACATGACACCTAGAAATGAATGGTTGGAAGCCTTTCCCAAACATAAACTTTGGGCAGACTAAGTGCAAAAGGATTTTTTTTGAAGGATGTTTTTTGTTGTAGCTGTTTTTGTTTAACCCTAAAGCTAACACTAACAGTTGTTTTGGCCTTACATTGCCTCATGTCTTGAAAATGTTGAATTTTGGATTTTTGCCTTATGCTTTTCAGATTTTTTCTGAGAACGTAAAATACAAAGGTCTCTGTTTTAAAAGTGCTAAACTTCTTAGCTTATAAAAAATAAATTTAAGCATGATGAAAAATCCCTGTTTAAGCCTATGGTAAAGTCCTTATAAACCATGGGGAATAAACCTTCAAGAAAACATGCTGGGTTTTGGCATTTACTGAAATGAACAAGTAAATAACAGAAAGACAAACTGGACTTTGATATTGTTTCCAGCAGACTGATCCTAACATAGTTGTAAGAGTGCTTATGGTTGTCATTTTAAACACTGCAAAACAGGAGCAATACTAACAATTTTCTGATGGCTGTAAGCTTTCCAATTTGCCTGATAAGCCATCCAGCAATATCAAATATATTATATATTATGCTATACACATATTGGTGTTCCTTCAAGGAACAAAGAGTGGTTACAGCATATTTCATAATTCTAAAGGTAATGTCTTTCTAATTACCTCTCCCTTTTAAAGTCTCAAATTACTACCAAAATGGCAGGACACAGTTATGTTATGTTGCCAGTACTGGTCAACTGTTCCACATAAACATGTTAAAAACCAGGGAATGTCAAGTTACTGCTGGATCTTTGGATATTTTACAAGAGAGATTTACTTGTTTAGAGGAAAACAGCTGGTCAGAGAGCAGGCAAGACTCCATTCTCCATGTGATGCAGACTTCCACAGCATTCTGTCCATTCCTCTACAATCCTTAGATGGGTAGCAAGAACCAGCAGCAAGCTAGTGCCAAAACCTTAACTGGGGTGCCAGCAGCCATGCAGGTAGGTATTCCTGTGTTTTTCCTCTTGCAGCTCAATATTCTTGGACTAAAACTGGAAAACTGATCATCAATACTGTAGAACATTATATTAGCAGTTACCAACAACCAAAACAATCCTTTTTGTTCCCTAAAATGCTATCATCATAAGAGTGATTGGCGTGTTTTCAGTTAAGGGAAGAGACAGAAGACTAGTCTCTCATGTATGCCTACCATTCAACTTCACTTTTCCCCCTTCCTATCTGGTCTAGTTTTGAAATGGGGCAGACTTCCTCACAGTTAAACCCTTCCACAATCAGACTCCTCCCTTCTCCATCTTCCCACAGGCTCAACCCCTTATGTGACCTCTCCAGCACCTAGAAACATCACTTCTCTTCCCTGGCCTCCAATATGAGCTCACACCTGACCTCTCATTTCCAGGGCCATCTGCCCATAATGCTGCCTGCTGGATTTAGTCAATTTTAGGTTTTTCCTTTTGTAGACTGAACTAGAGCAAGCCTCATGAGAAATCACATCTGCACAGTTATGCCGCCACCTCCTACGACCCCAGGCAGAGGCAGTCTCTGGACAGCAGGTAGCT